CAGCCAGCAAAAGCTTAGAAAGAGTCATGGATTGGTTTCTCCCTTTGAGCCTCCAGAAAGAGCTAACACTGCCAGCATCTTGACTTCAGACTTTGGGCCTTCAGAACTATGAGATGATAGATTTATTTTGCTGCAAGTCACTTAATTTGTGGTAATTTGTTAAGACGGCCCTAGAAAACTATCAGTAAGTGTCCCATAGAGTAGTCATTTATTCCAGCGATTTCTAGTATGTCTTACTGTGTCACCACTGCACAAAAGGACTGCCAAATAGGGAGAAATAGGCAAAATTTTCATTAAAGTTATTTATTTGCTTTGTCAAATAATTATGGATCCCAAATTCTAGCTGCTCTGAAACAGGCTAAACATATTTGCATTTCAAAATCTTGTCTGTTTTATGCCATCTGACCTTCATCTCTTTTTCATAATTCAGATGGTTCTTTAAATTGACAGTTTAAGATTAGTTTAAGATTATCTAATTGCTTTATGGTTTTTTTTATAGATGAGAAAATGGGCTTTACTTTCACGTCTTTACTGAGTTAGTTAAGATAAGTTAAACTGTTAATTTAGGCTGTTATCATGTACACAAAAATATAGGAGCTTGAACAAATAGTTTATTTCTGTTCTCTGACAGCTGGCACATAAACAGTCCAGGGCTGCCATGGTAGCTCCCAGATAGCAGGCACCAGGCCTATCCCTCCTGTTGCTTTGCTCCCCTAACACTTGTTGTGCTTCTCAGCATGATTGAGGATGACTCACTACTTCATTGATATGCCATCAGAAGAAAGGGTGAAAATGGAGGTTATTTCTGAGAGTTTTACTTATAGGTTTCATGCTTACTTCCCACATCCCACTCACAATGTTCATGTCCCATTGATCAAAAGCATAGTTAGAGCCATTTGCAAAAAAGGGCTAAGAATTATTGTCTTTATTTTCTGTAGCCAGCCACACTAATATCCAGGGATTCCATCCCTCAAGGAAAATGGGGAAAGTGGATCTGAGTACAACATAGTAATACTCAACACTCAGTCTAGTATGTAAGAGACACAATTATGTAAGGGACACAATTATTTAAATTAGTACTCACACTTACAGATGAGAAAATAAGACTTTTAAAATTCAGTGTATTCCTCAAGGTCATCCAGCTAAATTATTGGCAAAGTCTTGCAAATAATTCTGTTACAGTGCTTTCATAATAACAACCTCATAATTCTTAAAATTTATGTAGTGTTTACTGATTTGTAGGATATTTAATGTTATTTCATTTAAACTTTTTGATAAGTTTGTGTGATAAGGAATAATTTTATTTTATTAACTTTTTTATTATAGATGAGAAAATGGGCTTTAGTATCCCCTGTCATTAAAACCATGTAGTTCAAAGTGTTCTTGTAATAGCTAACCATTTCTTATTAATATCTTGCAATTATATTATATTTTCAGGTCTAGAGATATAGCTCAATGGTAAAGTGCTTTCCCAACATGCATAAGGCTCTGGGTTTGAATTCCCAGTACCACAAAAATAAAAAATTAATATTTAGTATTTTTAGTTTATAAAGTTCTTACAGCCTTCTTTTAACTGGAAGAAATATAAAATGGGAATTATAGTAACTTTTTAAATTAATAAAAGAAATAGGCATTTAAAGATTAAGTACAGAACTTGAGTCTTTGAAACCTCCTCATTCTTTTGGCACCTGTCCCTCAGTTGAATTAGGATTGCATTTAGCTACACAGAAGTAAATCTAATAACAGTGGTTCAACAAGTGAGGGTGTTTCTATTTATCACCAAAGAGGAAGGCTAAAAAAAATAGGGGTGGTTCACTAATGTCAAGGACCTGACTCTTCTCTTCACTTTTTTTGTTTGAAGGTAGCTTTTTATTTGCATACACAGAAAGGTGGGTCTCCCATTTACTGTGATAGTCTTTCTAAGCAAGAAAAAAGGGCAAAAGAGGACAAAAATATCCCAAATATACTATGTATTTGAAGGCTTGTTCATTAACTCTGTGTTTCATAACATTGACTGAATGTCACATTGTACCATTAATTATAAACAGAACCTGCTACTCCAAAGAGAATTTTGAACCTTAATAAAGTAAACGAAGAGGAAATTTATTAGCAAATAGAGTCACATTCTTGGGCCTTGGTTTCCAGATCTACGTATACCAGGGGAATAGTTCAGAGTATTCCTGTAAGAAATAATACCCCTTATTAGGATCTTGCAATTATTTAGTATTTTTAGGGCTGGGATTTTCATATTAGGGTTAATAAAATGTCCATTTTCAAAAATCTTTATTCTATAATAATATGTATCCCCCTTACTGTCTTACCCAGTTTAAAATAAAGAAGACAGAAGTTTATCATAGTTAAAAGTTGATTCAAAAAGTGTCTCTGTAAGTTAGTAATGTAATGGGACTGGGGCTGACTTACCCAGTGTGCTAGAACATGAAAGTGCTTGCCAGTTAGCAAACACTCTGAAAGAATCATAACGCCCATGAGTATGTGTGTGTTGACCTTCCATTCCTGGATGGAAAATTGCTTTGCCTAGGCCCTCCTTTTGGAATGTTATTTTCAGACCCAGAGTATTGGCAATACTTTACAACTTATACCAATTGTAAAATACTCTATGTTTACATAAATTCAGCTCTGTGTTATGCTATAAGTAGAGCTGATCAAAAATCTTATCAAACTTAATTTTAATTAATTCCTTGAGTTTGAAATTCTTAAAAGAGAAATACTTGAATACTTAAATGAAGGTGTAAGTATATTAGTGTAGTGGAAATTGTAGTTATTAAAAATAAGTTATCAGAAGTTTGTGTAGAAAAGTATGAACAACTTTTTATTTCCTACCAGGTCTTTTAGCATAACCAAACGAATAAAATTAACATTCTGTAGCTGCAATTTTGCCTCCTTATCAGTAATTTACATTTACCTACTATCTTTTTGAAATGTGTCCATATAAGTACTACAGATGAATGCATTGAGTTTATGTAATTTGAAGTACATTTTTCAAAATATTGATTTATTAATTCTTGTATAAAATTATTCTGATAGCATCTGCTGAGATGTGCTATTTTATTTTCTTATACAATACTGACCTCTAGAGATACCTCACTGTAAGTTCACTTAGTAAAACTTTTCAAATATTTATAAAAAAGAATTCAGAGGATTTTTGAATTTTTTTCCCTTCCACAGTTTTTGCTTTTATTATGAATAATTTCAAATGTAAAATTAAAGTAAGTACTCATATACATCATCTAGATTCACCAGTTATAACACATGTATTTGCTGGGTTTTGGGGTTGTTTTTTGAGGGGGGGGTTGACTTGTGTTCTTTGAAAACAATTACAAGAATTATAACATTTTATCCCTATATATTTCAGTTTGCATCTCTAAAAATTAAGGACATTTTTCTACTTTGCTATAATAAAATTAACAATTATTCTTTCAGAATCTCCAGTATTCACATTTCACTAGTTGTTCCCCAAAGTGGATTTTTTGGCTGCTTACTTCAAACCAAGATCTAGTCAAGTGACAAACACTACCTTTACTTGTTGGGTTATTTAGTCCTCTTAATCTAGAGCAACCTTCAGGTCCTGTTACTGCAAAGACATTGACTTGTTGAGGAGACCAAATCATTTCTCCTATAGAATATCCTTTTAGATGTATCTCATTGTTTCCTAAGGGTACATTGAACTTCTTTATTTTTACATTATCTTTTTCATACAAAGTGCACATTAGACCTGAAGCCTTCATTGGATTGGTTATACATTTTTGTCAAGAATATTGTGTTTTTGCTTCATGTACTTCTGTATCATATTATATGACATGTAGTGTACCTTTGTCTCAATATTAATGATGCTCAGATGGTTAAAGTGGTCATAACTAGATCTCTTAATAATTTGAAGATCTATTAAGGGTGTTACCAAAGAGATTTTCTAATTCTGTTGTTTTTTCTACACGTATTATTGAGAACTTTTTCCATTTCCTGAAATGTATTTTCTTCTAAAAAGGGAGGATAAATGTTCAACTTTTCTCCTTTATTTATAGTTTTAAACTAAAGAATTTGGGTAGAAACCATCTTCATTTGGAAAAATATATTTTAGGGAAGAAAACACTTTCTGTTTTTTGAAAATAGCCTTTTTATCTCATGAATTTTCATATAGTCAGTATGATTCAAACAGCTTCAGTTATTATTTTTAAGCTGAGTGTATTTTTTTTTTCACTTTTTATTAGGGTACCATTTTTATATCCCTTTTTCTTCATATACTATTATATGATCTTTTTCTGTAGATATTATCTATAAATTTTCAACTGTAAGCAAAAATTAAACAGGCTTATTTGAGCATCTTGACTGCCATCCTATTTTAGTCATAGTCATTCATTTCTTTTCTCTTTTTTTGTCTAGGTTTTACTGTTACCCAGGCCTGGGTTTATGATCCTCCTGCCTCCGATTCTTAAATAGCTGGGATTATAGGCTTCTGCCACCAATTCCCACTATCCCATCTTTCTTCGAGTTATTTTTAAAATCTGGGAAACTGTCAGCAATCAATTATGAGATGACATTTATGGACCTTTACTCTTTCGTCTTATAACCATCTTTGGTGTCCTCAGAACTATAGCTAACATTTATCCAGTGACAGCCAAGAGTGCTTCTGCTAAGAATTTCTCAGTCATGCCTTAGTTGGCTGAATCTTGTCCTCTTATAGATTACTTCTAAAGAGCTAGCTCAAGGGTATAAAATTACTAAATATGTTTTAAGAACTTTCTTTTTAGCTTTGATACCTGAAAGACTCTACTATTTTTAAAGTCTTTGGTTTGCCCTGTATACACTACCTACATAGTGTCTTAGGGCTGTCGTAGGAAATTACTACAAACGGGGTGGTCTGAAATGACAGAAACTTAATCTGTCCTAGTTCAGGAGGCCAGAAATTTAATAACAAGAAATCAGCAGAAGCATTCTCTTTTGGTAGAGTAGAGGGGATATTCCTTGCCTTCCTCGTCCACCTTCAGGTGGCTCCAGACGTCTTTGGCATGTCCTTAGATGGTTGTATAACTTTCCTCTACTTTATGGAAATTTTCAAGCCATCTGAAATATTTTAATCTGCATTTTCTATATTTTTCAGTGGACATTGCAGTTTCTTTCTCTTTTATATTTGGGACAGGTACCTTGGTACTGATGGAAGAAAGGTGACAGGACAGGAATTTGGGTGATTTTTAGTACAGGAGCTTTCTTTTCTGATAGCATGAAGAAGACTTCATAGGCACTCTTGAAATTGCTTTCAGACTTATTTTTTTCTTGCTTGATCTTGTTTCAGGAAGACCTATCTTCAACCCCTTCCCTCCTTAGCTTTAGCTACCATCTTCCAAATCCCAAAAGATACCTTATGTCATCATTTTCTCCTTCCTCCCAGGGTATTCTCAGGACTACATGCCTAGTCCTGTGTCTTCTCCAAGGCTTTTCTTAGTGCTTTATTGTTTTAGGCCTGCTTTCATTAATTCCCATTTCAAATGGGAACTTTTCTTTCTGAGAAGGACTTCTGGCACATATTAACCTGAGTTCTTCTACCACTGAAAATTCTCCAGCCTCTTAACACCTCTGTGAAGCTCCTATGCATCCCCACATTCCAGGGCTTATTCTGTTGATCATTGGTCTTTATTTCCCAGCTTTCTCATACATGCATGTTTGTAGTTCTCCTCTGTTTCCTTAACTTTGTACTTGTAGATTATGGGTGTATTTGCTGTCCTTGTGGCTGTGTATGTTTCTTTGAAGGAAGTGTGAGAAGAGTCGAGGAGACTGCTTATCATCATTGTGAAACTCGGAAATGTAGATTCTAATGTAGATTCTGCTAGTTATGTTTTTTATTTTTATTTTTTCTGTAGCTAGGAATAAGCTGGTAATGCACCTATTTACATTACTAGCCATAATGGACTATATTTTGTTTCATAGGGAGTAAATGCTAAAACAACAATCTACTTGGATAATTATCAGTAAGTTTGTTATCATGCATAGTTTGATAGTGAAAAAAAACTTCCAAACCAATAAAAACATCTCAAGCAATCTCTGGGGTCCCCTTTCCCTTTTAAAATTTTGTTCTTTTTTGAAATCTAAATCTTTTTTTTTTTTTTTTTTTTTTGTACTAGAGATTGAACCCATCGGTGCTCAACCACTGGGCCACATCTTCACCCCTTATTTCTTAAGACAGGGTCTATCTAAGTTACTTGTAGCCTAGCTGAGTTACTGAGCTGGCTTTGAACTTATGGTCCTCCTACCTCAGCCTCCTGAGCCATTGGGATTACAGGCATGCAACTACCAAAGCCTTTTTCTTTTTATATACCCTGATAAAATAGACATAAACTTGACTCAGTTACCTCTTCAACCATTTTTGTTTATAAAGCTACTTAGGAGAATGAATCAATATGCACATAAATTAATCCATGAATATATCAGAAGTAGAGATGTTTTAGGAGAAAACTGAATTTTAAAATTTGAATTATCCAAGGAAGTTGTATTTTTGTCACAGGGTGGGCTTCCCAAAAATCAGACTTAAGATGGAGATTAACATGCAGAATATTTAATAGGTAATGTGTTAGGATCAAATTTATAAAGGGAGGGAAAGAAAGCAGAATGCATGCAGAGGGACTTTAAGTTGCAGTTCAGTTCCAGTAGAGGATCAGCCAGTAGTATCCCACAGGACCACATGCGTTCTTAGGCTAGATATTTAATATCCATTATCTGTGACTGCAGGATTACATGCCCCCCCCTTTTTAACTTTGTCTTAGTACATGATTATTTTGTCATAAAAGACAAATAAGCCTATTAACTTTTGTACTTAGAAAAAGAAGGCATTCTATTGGGGGCCGGAGGGACTACAAGTAATTTTATAGAATAGGATGTTTTTCAGTTACCTGTACTTTGAATTCCAAAGGATATATCTTTTGGTTTTAAAGTTTCAGTACTATTAATGGGTATTGTATTTGCTTTTCAGCTTGGGCAATGGTAGATGGTGGCTCAAATGTGAAAGCCCGCTCTTCTTACAGTGAAAAGACCCCTAAGATCATCGTGTCTCGCTCCCATTCAGGGATGGTAAAACAGGTTGCTCTTCAGACATTTGGAAACCAGACTGCAATCATCCCAGCTGGTGGTGCTGGTATGTTCCCCCTCCTGTGATTCCTAAGACTACTTCTAGATTGGGCAATTCTATGTCCTATACTGGGAAAGAAAATGAGAAGGAACAGTATACTTTCAGGGTAGGCTCAGTTTCCTACTTGGTAATCTCTAGGGTAGACTTTAGTGACGTTGGTCTTGTCTAGAAGAAATAATCCCATAATAGCTTCTTTTCCTCAAATACTACATGAGCATCTTTCCACCAGTGATGTGCCATCAGTGGTTGCTTTTTGTATGATCTGACTTCAAAATAATTATTCTGTTGATTAAACAGGAAAGGAGAAAATATCAAGGTCTTCAGATGCTTCATCCTAAGTCTTGTTAGAAACATCAATCCCAGAGTCAATTTTTTTTAATATTTATTTTTTTTAGGTATAGATGGACACAACACAATGCCTTTTTATTTTTATGTGATGCTGAGGATCGAACCCGGGTCCCGCCCATGCTAGGCAAGCGCTCTACCGCTGAGCCACAATCCCGGCCCCCTGAATCAATTTTAACAGCCCTAAACTTTTCAACTTGCTTGTGTGGGATGAGAGGTAGAGTCTAGTGCCATCCAGCTTGCAGTGTATTCCATACTGTTATGTGAGTATAGAGCAGAGGTCAGCTTACATTTTCTGAAAAGGGCCAGATAGTAACATTTCAAAACTTAGGAGCTACATGTGTATGTCTGTCTTATAATATCCTTTGACTTTTTTAAAGCCACCTTTAAAAATATTTTTTAAAAATTAGATGACTTTCGTTATAAGTACTACTTAACATATCAGAAATATTTTAATTCAGGTAAATAGCAAATTGTTGTCAGAAAATATTTGTGTTGGAATACCTTTTCAGCAAATTAATAAAGCGAGAAATGATTCTTTTTAACTATTAAGCCTAATGGTTTTAATTTGCCAAATGCATGTGACTGATTTCTTTAATATTTACTTTCAGCCTCTCTTTTAGGCTGATTAGGAAAAGTAATGTCCAAAATATACCTAGTAAGAATAAGATAAACTAGATTCTAGATGTGTTTTTTTCTGCATTTGTTTCATTTATTTTTTCTTCTTTAAATTTGGCCTCATTAAACAAAGGATTTAGGGTAGAAATGTTACTTTTTGTTCCCTGAAATCAGGTCTGCCTTGATGTTTAACTGAAATATATAAGTGTTTAGCTATAGTATAATATGTCATTCCATAGAAAATGGAATATTGAATGTGTCATTCCATAGAAAACAAGCATAAAGATTTAAAATTTCAAAGTATAGGGATGTTTTTTGGTTATACATGAGACTAGCTTAGTAAGTTATTTTGTAGTATTTTGTTCCTCTGTGGAGTTTAATGTTTGTACTCTTACTTGGGAAAATATTTTTTATTTTAAATAATTTTAGACTTGAGCAGTTGAAAACACAGTATAGTCATGTTCTGTATACCCTGTTCTATTCTTTTCAACAGTGCACTTAATAAAAAATATACACTACTTTCTTAAAATCTTTTAAACAATAACTTAAATTCTGTGTTTATCTTTTAGGTTACAAAGTTTTAGCACTCTTGGATGTGCCTGATAAGACTCAAGAAAAAGCTGATCTATATATCCATGTGACATACATCAAAAAGTGGGATATATGTGCTGGCAATGCCATCTTAAAAGCCCTTGGAGGGCATATGACCACTCTGAGTGGTGAAGAAATCAGTTACACTGGGTCAGATGGAATTGAAGGGGGACTCCTTGCTAGTATCAAAATGAACCACCAGGCTCTGGTTAGAAAACTCCCAGATCTTGAAAAGACAGGACATAAGTAAGCATCACTGATTACAGAGTGCAACTGCTCTTCCAGAGCTGACATGATTATGCCTGAAATGCTGGAAGCTTCAAAGGACTGGTGGAGACTATGCATGGTTAAGGCCATCTTGAACCTTTTTAAGTATTTATGAAGCATCAAGGACTTATTTTCCCTGTAATAGGATGCAGAATCAGGGAAAATGGGTTGCTTCGTGTCTCAAGTATTGTCTTTATTTTTGAGACTATTTTCGTACAGTTGTCATACACAAGGCGCATATATATATTTGTGAATTAAAATCTATAGCTGAGTCTACATTGTTATAAGTCAACCATTTTCACACAGCATCATGAATCTTCACTATTTGTTAATACTTTCACACAGAATTGGGTTGAAGGAAGGATTGATTTTTGTGTAGGTGTTTAATATAACTTTACAATTATTATCTTACTGAAAATGTAATAACTGGGGATTTTTACTCCTGATTTGGATGGAAAGCACAAAAGCTACACGTTCATTAATATGCAGCAAATGCTCTGTTCATCTGTTACTGAATATTTCTATGATGAAAATAGAAAAAGCTTAAATTGATTTTTTTCTTTGAAATTTTAATAACAGGTTCACCAGCTAGTAGAAAATATAGATATATGATGGTTTGCATTCTAATTGTAATATTCTGTGTGTGTGGTTTGTTTTGTTTTTTATAAAGAAAAGTATGTATGTGTACACCCATGGGTTCAACATTTCTGCCATCTTGCTGTTGATTTTCATTTTCCCTGTGAAAGATGCATGATTTCATCCTTTTCCTCCCGACTGGTAGACTGGTATTTAGTCTTTAACTTGTAAGGTTTGGCTTGGGGTTTTAGGGTTAGCATTATTATTTTGATACATTATCTCATTAGGGATAAAATAATGCTGTAAGACACTAAGAATATAAATGATTCTGTTATAATGGAAAGTTATTTGGTATTACATGGATTAAATTAGTTTTTGTTATTTTCAGGAACTTTGTTTAAGTGAGTTTTAAAATTTTTGCCAGGTTTATATAAAGGGATTCATTGTCAAGAATGAATACAGTTGATTTTGCCATGGTTGCTTTTTCTATTAATAAATTATTACCTAACCTAACCAAATTCTCATACTAGTAACTTTTGAGTTACTCTATATTCCCTTCAAATTGCAGTAATGAAAGTTAAAGTTAACTTTTGATGAAATTTTTCTTCTATTCAGGCAGCAGAATATGGTTGGGGAAAAAAGTTGTGACATTTATTTTGTTGCCAAACTACAGCCTTGCTTTATGAGCAATTTTTCATTGGGATGTGTGGGTTCTCTCAGTGTGATATCCAGACAATTTATGTAAAGAATCACAATTATTTCATGTGGCTTCAATGCCTTTATATTCCATAGCAATGATAAGGAGAGGGATTTTTCATGCTTGCTTTCTTCTTCTTCTGTTTAACAATTTAATCTTTAAAAAAAGTTTCCTATTTATTTTCCTATCTTGGAAGTAAATTGAACCATAGGATGTACATTCTAAACTGGTAGAATGTTCATACTTTAGGTTTGCGTAGTACACTGTACAGAGCCCTTTGATTCCTTTTAAGTGAACTGAATCTAGTGTGTGATGTTTCCATTCAGTATCTATAACTACTAGTCACAAATCCATTAAGTAGGCTTTTTGTTCAGTGAAAATTCAAAGTTGTGGTGGTCGGAACACTTGAATTTAAATAGGACTTCAGAACTTGCAAAGGAATATCAGAAACCTCATCTGTTTACTTCATGTAAGATAAGGAAATTCTTTGTTCTCCAGAGAGATGGTAAAGGCATATGCCATTACCAGAATCCTGTGGTATAAGCATTTCTTTAATATGTCAGGGAAATGACTGGCAAATAGGAAATTGAATTTAATTGGTGGTTTTAAAAAATATTATGTGGAAACTTCAGAACTTAATGAAAACTAGTTCACATTAGCAAGCATGATTGCTTTAGTTTTATTTTTAATTCCATTAATCTACATACCTAGGATGTGAAGGATGTGTGTTGTGTGCAAAATTAAGGTATTGGCTGAGAGTTAAATACATTATTTTTATAATTTGTTGGATATAGTCTAGTTACTAAGGATTTTTAAGTACTTTTATAGAAAATTCATTTTTTAAATTTTATTTCTAAGAGCCAATATACATTACAAGCAACAGTATTTATATTTATTTATATGAGGCATTATTATGCCCAGACATACTAGTAAATTACCTTCATGAGTGAGGCATACAATATCATTTCTAAAACATAGCAAAACAAGTAGTTTCCTTTTAGTGACTCCTATTTGCCCAACTCCGGGTCTTCTCTTTCCTTCATCTTTGCCCTTACATTGAGGATAGTTTTCCCTTAAAGCTGAGTTTTATATATCATATCAGTAGAAGTGGTGATGTTAGTATTCATTGGCTGGCCCTCTCCTCTGCCCCTCTTCATCTCTACCTTATTACCTGTTTGCCATGCCCATTAATGTTCTTATGTCTGCTTCTCTTCCTTAGTCAGGATACATACTCCCATGCTCATTTTCCAAATTTTCTTTTATATACCCCTTTTTCTCCAGATTGGCTGCTAAAATATTTGGTAAAACTGAGGCTCTGATCAAGTTCCCAGTGAGGGAGATAATCCTGGCCTAGGTAACCATTACTTTTCAAACTGCACAAAAAGTGTAAAATGAAAATCACTTTCAAAGCTACAAACTTTCATGCTGTCAAATCTAATCGAATACGAAAGTCTTTACAAAGCGTTTCTTCCAACCCATCTCTCAGGAATGTCAACAAAAGATATGAGAAAATGGGATAGATAAGCCTTCTTAAGGAAACGTGCTTTTTCTGTTGGTTACCATACTTGTATTCCCCATTTCAGTTGAGTTTACAAGGGCCTACAAGATGGTCATGTTTGTCTTTAGTATATAATTTTCTGTTCCCCCAATTTTAGTGTTTGTTTCTAATTTTAAATCAGTTATATGCAGGTGAATTATTTATGGTGTCTAATGAAGTAACAGCAACATTTTGGTTTGTGTGTTTTAAGTAACAGTTGTGCAAATTATTTCTGTTTCCTGGGTGCTCCCTTTGGGTATTTTGCAAATTGTGTCAGAGGAGGTGGAACAGGAACAATAGCTGAAAATAGGGTAGGAAGAGAGATGGAAAATGAGGGGAAGGGCAGCTGAAGGAGATGCAGAGCATACATCTGCCCTGAATGCTACAGTCAGCAACTCTGCTCAAGTCTCTTGTGTTAATTTCAAAAATAGGATTTCACTCAGACTGTGAAACTATATCTGATAGTCCAAGTGTAAGTAAAGAAAAGTGGGGTACACTACAGAAAATAATCAGCTTTTCCTCTCTTGAGTAACACCTTTGAAGATGGACTCCCTGAGACAATGTGATAGGTCAAAACAGGAACTGTTTTGGATTCTTCTAGATGCAACTGCCTATTGTGATTATGTATTGATTGTTCCTAGATAGAAATGTGACTTAATTTTAGATCTTGGTTGAATTTAAACTGTATTTAATTATATGCATTATAGAAGTGTGTCTTATATAACTGTTGTGTAAAATAAACCTCATCTGTGATTTCAGTTTTGTTCTAAAAAAAGTTGTGCCTTAATAATAGGGCATTGTATGTTAATAAGGGAAAACAAAATCTTTTTTTTAGTAGATGGGAAAAATAGGAATTTTTTGCCATTAAAATTTAAGTTCTTTTAATGTTTTTAATATTAGAGTTGGGGGAAATTCATTGAAATTAAATAAAATTGATATAAAATTATTTTTACATAATCTAGCATTTACAACTAAATACATTTTATAAGAACTGGCATCTTGATGTATATAGGTCTGAAATGATATTTCATCTTTTGATTTTTAATTTAATAAAGACCAGGGTAGATCACATTTTTACAGATTTACTTTTAAATAAACCATTTCCATGTGCTAATACATCTGTTCTCCTAGTTCTCTAGAGTCATTTTGGTTAAGAAATAAATAGTTATATATTCATGGTAGTTTCTCCATCATTTATTAATGTCAATTAATATTGTATGTTTTATAGCATAATAAATACTTCCTAAGGGGGACAGGTTTCTAATTCTGATCAGCCATTATTGAGAGAGCAAGAAGAATCAAACTCTATACTTAAGAAGTAGATTTTGGTTTTATGAGATGCTGGTTATGTAAATTGTCCATTTTTATCTCATCAAAGCCTGCCAGGTATATGCTTTCGAATTTACCATTGGCAAAGCATTTCTTTATTTTGGAAGTTGAGTAGTGAATTAGTTTTGTTGAAAAATATTTTCCTTTCAGTTAAACAGACCAAACTTGTAGATGTTAAGGATCATGAATATACTAACACAATGTTATATATTTTGTTTGTGAGAGTTCCCTAAAGTATTATAATTAATGTAATTTGTGTACATTGCAAAAGGAGAAACTAGTGTTTGATTAATATGTTCCATTAAAATTCTTTTTGCAGTGCAATACACATAGTGAATTTTTATTCAGAATTTTTTTTAAATAGGAAAGCATAAGTCATGAGATCAGTTAACCCATGAAAAGATTTTATCTTCCCAAATTATCTTACCTTTGTCACTATTCACGTAGTTTTAAGGAGGGAACGTTTATGGACTTCATTTTTGTATATCCTTACTGTCCTTTCCTGGTGTAGCCAAAGCCCATTCTTTTAGTCTCATGGAAGAATCCCTGTTCTTCTGGGCTTGCTTCTTTCTTTTGACATTAACTTGAGCAATTACACCTACATACCCAGGGTTTGGATTTACACTGAAGTTATGACTGTTTCCTGTATCCCTGCCTTTCCAAACTGATTTCTTGTCATCCTCATTTCTGTTACTCTGTTTCTTAAAAATGGGTCAACAATGATGAAAAAAATTAAAATACTTTACCTTTGTAAACTCCTTCCTCTTTCACACAATTTAAAGCCATGGCAAAGCTATACCTTTTCCCGTTGTGTAGACATGCTGGGCCAACAATTTTCTTAGCGTGCTCTGACCGCCTCACACCACCAAATTTAAGTGGGTTTCAGCTTCAACCTTTACAGTAAATAAAACTCTCCTCCCTCCATGGCTTTACCGTAGTTTTTTTGTACCTTGCCTACAGCAACTTAACAGTAAACTTGGGGATTGCGTTGTGGTTTTACTTCAACTCCCAGATAGCCCGTAGCTTGCACAATTAATAGGTGCTTAGTATGTTTTGAACCAAATTAACTAAAGGGTTACCGCTAGCATTAGCATGCTTCATGCCTCAGTTGTATATGCTGGTTAGTGGTTTGTTTTCTTTACAAATACTATGATTATCACTACACACACACTTAAATTATTTTTTAAAGTTTTGCTTTTCTCCAGATACTATCCCATGGTCAATTAACTGTAGAAAACGTGATTGCTTCCAATGACATAATTATCCCAAACTCTGTCCCTGGATATACTTTGCCAAATGAAATTTGAATTCTCTGAATAAATTGGTCATGTCTGAAAGAATTGGTGTGCTGCATTTGCTTGCTTACTTTATTACTTTTTTATATGAAAACATAATAATATTCCATTTTAACTGCTTTCAGGTGTGCAATTGAGTGTCATTAAGTACATTCACAATATTGTGTGATCCTTACCACTACCCTGGTTACTGGTCATCTTTTGGGAAAGTACGTTTTTAATTTCATGGACTGTTACAGATCACCTCCATGACTTTCTTTTGGTGATTCT